ATCAAAAAAAGAAATGTTGCCATATATCGATATTTGTAAAACAAAACATATTTGATAATAGACTGCAATATTTAACCATCATGGCATTTGACAAGAAATTCTTAAATACAAATATAATAGTACAGGGTAAAACCTGTGTTGATTTTTATTATTAGTGTTGATAGTGAAATTCGTTTACCTTTTTGATGCAGATCTACAATTAATTAGGATTAGACAGTAGTGTATATCAATAATGTAACCACCTTGTTGCAGGTTTCACCCTGTCGCAATATAATAATAAAGAATAAAAACCAGTTAGAGAATAGTACAATGCCAAAATAGAAAACCCTAAATTAAAAGGAGAAACAATACGTATAAATATATTTTACTTACATATGTACTGGTATATATTTCAAAAGCTCAGTGAAGTTATATGAAGCCATGCCAACTATCGTTATAAGAAGTAATAATGCAAATTACTGTATGAGTATGGATTGATATTTGATACAGTGCTGTACGTATAATTTTGTTATAATTCTGTTATTTTTTTTTGATTTTCAAAAGCTAAATTTTTTTGAAAAATAATAGAATTACTTTGTTGGGTTATAAAGATTTCTTATGGATTAGATCTAAAAGCACACAATCGTTAGTAAATGGGTAATAGCAAATTTGATCTCAACGTAGCATATACAGTATTGACTGTAAATTTGTATTCTATGCGAAATGATGTAATAAATACGTAATAGATTCAAAGTGTATAAAAGAAAAAAATTCTGAATAAAAAAATAATCAGTTCTCTCTTTCAAAAGTAATACTTGCACTAAGTAGTGTCTTGTACAATAAAATGCCACCAGTAAGCAAATATGTTCGTAAGTTGCAAAAAAATATATCAATCGCTTGCCAAATATTACAAAATATAGAAAATGCTGAAAGTATTGAAGGTGATAGTGATATCAGTGACAATGAAGTGCTTGAAGAAAATGTGTTTATGGATGAAGAAAAAGCAGAAGCAGTTAGTAATGTGTTTGAAGAAATAATTAACTAAATAAATCAAAAAAATAATAAATAAAAAATGTCCACTTACTTATATTGGAAATTCTGAAAGAACACATCGACGTAAAAGAGCTAAAAGCAGACAAGCTGCCGCAGGAACAATTAATATTACAAATTTTTTTTCTAAAGATGAAAAATTCGATCTAGAAAGTGTGATGATGAAGACCAAAATGTAGACTGTATTGATACAGAAAATAATCAGCAACAAAGTATTGAGAATAATCAGCAGCAAAGTATCGATAATAATCAGCAGCAAAGTATTGATAATACTATCAAAAAAATCGAAATAATGATAAAAAATGAGAAGCCTAGAAAGGTTGAACTAGTGCATTATCAATCAGTTATCTGGTACTTGCGTTTATTGCAAAATAGAAAAAATAAAACAGAATCTAGTGAAACTGTCACGACAGTTTATAATAAAGGCAAATATTATGCTCGATGCGTAAGAAGATAGGCTGCTATATATTTAAAGGGTTATTGTTATATAATCTATAATCTGTGAAGTTTTTTCTCAAAGATCTTATAAAATATTAATTCTGTTTAAATAATATTATCAATAGATGAACCTTTGCCTCAAAGTTTTCAAGAGAAGCATCTATCCAAATCATTTCTTTATAATGAAGCTATATTTATACATATAGCAAATTATCTTAGATCAATAAAAATTTCAAGCAAATCCTTACTTAGTAAAGCAGTATTTTAAAGAAAAAGTAGTTCCAGATTTTGAATTTACTACACCACAAATAATTAGTATTAGAACAGCACAAAGGTGGATACATCACTTAGGCTTCGTATATAAATGATATCATATGGGAATTTATATTGATAGACACGAACGTTTTGATGTCGTTGCATACCGAAATAACCTTTTAAAACTAATGGATGAATTTGATTTGTTAATACCAAAATGGCTAGATAAGAAGTGTAAAATAAAAATGCTACCTATATTACTTTCAAATCAAAAGCCCATATTTTGATAACGAATGATGAATCAACATTTCATGCATATGATGGAATGTATACTTTTTGGGGACCATATAATGAACAACCTCTGAGAAAGAAAGGTTTAGATGCGGGTTTACATGTTAGTGAGTTTTTGACAGAGGATATTGGTCGGTTAAAGGATAATATAGACGAGGCTCAAGTAATTATAATATTAGGCGCAAATCGTGATGGGTATTGGAATAGTAATAAACTATTAGATCAGATACGTAAAGCTGTAATTATATTTGAACGTACATATCCAGGAACTATTGGGATATGGGCATTTGATAATTCAACGTTTATACAGCAATAGCACCTAATGCATTAAATGCAAATAAAATGAATCTGTATCCTGGTGGTAATCAACCATTAATGTGTTCAACAATTTGGAATGGTCATGAACAAAAAATGGGTTTTTCTTTCGATTATAAAAAAGAAGAGTTACAGGTCAAGCAAAAGGTAACAAATATTTAGTTTTATTTAGGGTTTATATTTTTAAATTGAGATCACTAATTTCTAGCTCCAGCTATTTCTAACTTTAGCCATGACATAATTACTTATATTTATTTATTATAATTAAAGAGATAAAGGTTGTTTTACAAGAACGCAGGTTATGGAAAGAAGGGCTATTAGCTAATTGTAAAGGTGAACATACAGAAACAGAATGCTGCGCACGTCAAATACTTCTTAATCAACCTGATTTTTTGATACAATGAGGATTGATACAAGAAGAATTAGAAAAAAGAGGTCACAAAGTAATTTTTTATCTGAAATTCTATCCTGAACTTAATTACATTGAGATGTATTAGGGTGCTGCAAAAGAATATACACGAAGGCATTGTGATTATTCTTTGGCAGGCTTACATCGTATTGTTCCAGAAGCTTTAGATTCAATTTTAGTAGAACGTATCTATGCATATGCTAGATTAAGTTATCGATAGATGGATGCATATCAATGTGGATTAACAGGATAAGCAGCTGAATATGCTGTTCGTAAATATAAAAGTCATCGAAGAATTAATAGAGTAATGCCACAGTAATTGTAAAATTGATATAGTAACAATTTCAATAAAGATTTTAACATACATATGTACGTATTGCATGCATAAAACAAATTTTAAAAGTTTTCAACTTTTTAATAATGTATATGTATTATATACCGATAGTATATATATCTTATAAATTAAAAAATATAGATACATGCTATATAATTAATAATGCATGTTTATTGGATGATACATATAAACATATGACTCTGCATATTTTTAAAATTTGGCTACTTTTATATAAGGGTGTCAGTTTATGCTGTCCCATACTATAGCCTAAAAAGGCTATAACCTGCTTCTGGTCTCCACAGTTAGGTCCTTTTCCTCTAGTACTCCTCTAGTGGTCTGGTTGGTGAAGTGCTTTGCCAAATATTTCAGTCCTGTTCAGTTTTTGCTGGTTCTTCTAATGATAATCTTTTACATAGTACCGTCAAAGATTTGTGCTATCTCTCTATTCAGGACTTGCCAAGCGAGTGCTCTACCACCATATCAGTCTTGTGGCTTTCTGTGATCTGAAGATCTATTTGTATAACTTATACATCATACAAATACCCCAAGATCTTCTAGTTCTGATAAACTGGTATAACCACAGTTACAGTATCTCAAGTTTTTTTGGTCATAGCATTAGTTACCGAATCTGTTTTTTAATTCAATTTTCATCTTTAGTAGAAATTGAACTTGTACTCAACTGCTTGGAGATGCGACAACTTCACCACTTCACTAAGTCGCTACACCTTTTAAATAAGATTATCTATTACAAGTAAATTAAAATGCTTTATAATTATTTTAGTAACTAAGTATCTAGAAAATGTTGCAATAGCAATAGATCAATTTTAATAAAATAGAAAATATATTACTATAGTTCATATTTAATATATAAATGTAAGGCTTAATCATGTATATTTTAAATAAATGCTTATACTATTATGGTAACTTTTTATACTACTCTAAAAATTATGATGTATATATAACAGATATATTAAAATGAGTTAAGAGGTGATTCGCCGTTAAAGGGTATAAGCATCATATAAGCATCATAGTAAAAATCGGCAGGCATTACTTATAA